TGTGTAACTTAATGAAATCCACATCCTTCAATATTTCAGAAAGGGATTGTCTAGGCCTAGTTTTGGTTCTAATTAGTTCGTGTTATTTGTTAATGCTTTGCTTGAGCCTAGTTTCAACGAAACGACATTATACCTAATCAAGCTCTCTATTGGGTCAGTAGATTAAAACGTCTACCGAGTAAACAACAGATAGGAACAACATTATGAGAAGTACACATTTTAAAAAATCTAATTTTAAAATCATGCTAGGCTCTTTGCTACTCCGAGTATATCGGGCCTCGTTGACTTATTGTCTCCCTTTTCGCAGACTACTGTAGAACCACCCTTGCTGACTCAGTCGAGGGAGGCTGGCAGCGACTTCAGGCGTATTTGCAGTTTCGACTACGCCAAAGTCATGTGCTACACCAAATTCGCAGTCTGCTCGTCTCTGCTCGAGTCCGCCGGCTCCGGCCTTGACGGAAACGCCACATTAACGCAAGCCTCGAACTTGCCCACCTGTAAGTTTCGATCCGTCAATCGGCTGCCCTTGACACCGCAGACAAGGCGATTTATTCCTCCGGAGGCTTGGAGGCAGGCGTGGATGCGCCGAGAGAGCAGACTTACGGACGAGGCTCGCTTTAATGCCTGCATCCGGAATCACTACCGTTCAGGCGAGCGAGGAGCCTGATTGGTCACATCTTAGAGTACCTCTGCCCATCCCCGAGAATCTGGATTCTGTCAAGGGAAGGCATGGATTCGCAGCTCATTTTCGTGGGTTTTGCTCTATCTGCATCGACTCCTCTGGATACTCTCCATTAAGTCCTGTAACGTCAACCTCTCTTATTGGCCAATTGGATGTAAATCGGCTGCTGCCACCTTCCCAACTGCCATATTTATTCTCTGATTCTCAAGCCGAATGCGTCTCACCGGCGTGGAATCGCTGAGCCCAGTGGGATTCCGCAAACATCATACTCACTTGCAATATTGTTGTTTTATATGTTTTATTTTGTTCTTTTGGAAAATCTTCTTTCATATATCCCAGGCACTGAACTTACCCAGAACCCTGCTTGCCACTTTCTCATTCAAGCATAAAATAAATGGGAATGTATCGCTTCTAGCGGTAGTCTGCTCTTAAGTCTTGAGGTACTAGTATGTCGTTTATAATAATTAATGCTATTCAAAGATAGTCGACCTCAGTCTGTTGCCTTCATTTGGTCTGTTAAACAGCTTGACTTTACACACTTTTTCCCTTAGTGTTAGCTTATCCAGCTCTTTGTATACAGAATATCCATCTTATATAAGAATTTAGTCACCAAACAACTCTTAAGTTGATTTAACGTCAGAAAGTGG